TATTTGGGAGGCTGAGCCAGGATGATCGCTTGAGCCCAGGAGATGGAGGTTGCAGTGAGCTGTGATAGAGCCACTGCTTTCCATTTGTCCGTTTTTATCCAGCTTTTTCTTCCCCTCCTTCGTGCTTTCTTTTGAATAGACTGAAATTCCCCCAGCACCACCAACTGCATTTTCCCCTTCTATTGGTTTAGAATCTACACATCCTATTACTATTCTTTCAGTAGTCCTCCTTGAAATTATGTACTACATTATGCCTAACAATTTAACAAAGCCTAAAATTAAACAAATGTTAACTCCCTCCACAACGTACTGCAAGGACTGTAGAAAGCTTCAACTCTGATCATCCCCTTTTCATATTTATTTTCAGCTGCTCACTTACATTTATCTTGTCTTCTTTTCTTCAATTATACCAACTACACACAGATGTTGTCATACACACAGCTTTATTATTGTTTCAAGTATGTGATTAGATTTTCAGGAGTATCACTGGCTCACCAGCTACTAGATTCTAAGTAATTATAATAGCCGTCTACTTTTTCTTTCTCAATAAACTTATCTATTAGCAATTTTTCAGTGAAGGTTTGTTGGTGTTAAATGCTCTTAAAGATTTTATTTTTCTGAGAATGCCTGTCTCACTTCATTCTTGAAAGATAAGTCTACAATTCTTGGTTGATAATTAATCCCTCTCAGAACTTTGAGAGTTCACAGGTCTCTGCATTTCGTTATTGTTTGTTTGTTATTTCTATCTCAAACTGCTTTTGACATCTTCTCTTTGATACTGGTGTTGTACAGTTCCACTATAGTGTTGCTGCAGATGTGAATTTCTTTTCTTTTAATTATGAGTGATTTGAATGCCTTCCTTAATCTAAAGATTGGTGACTCTTTTCAATTCTGGGCAATTCCCATAAATTATAGGCATTTTGTCTTCCCCTAGTTCTCCTTTCAGAACTCAGATCACATACATGGGCCTTGTCACTCTCTTCACCCTTTTGTCCCTTAACCTCTTTCATATTTTCCATTTCTTTTTCTCTCCATGGTTAGTGATAGTTATTTATTTCAGATCTGTCTTCTAATTAGCTGAGGCTCTCTTCACCTATGTCTAATCAGCTGTTTTAAAATACACTGAATTCTTTACATCAGTGATTCAATTTTCACTTCTAGGTACTGTTCTTTTTCAATTCTACTTGATCATTTTGATAGAAAACAACTCTTATTCTTTCCATTCTATTACCTCTTTAAATAAACTTTAGATTCTAAATATACCATCGATATCTACATTTATTTTGATCTCATTTGGTAGTTTGTTATTTCTGCTGATTCTCCTTCATGCTGGTTTGTTGTCTCATGTGTTTCATTTTTATTTTTATCATGAGCATGTTTCCTAGAAATGTGTTAGTATAGAGAAGTGGATTTGAACTATATCAATCCTTACAGTACTAGCAGAGTGTTTGGTTCTTCCAGGTGCTCCCCCAACTAAAGACTACTTAAAATATTAGCTTGTGAATTTGGTGGCCACACACTCACTATAAAGTTGACCAGTCCTAATTTATGGTTCAAAATTCACTGGGGAAGGTTTGTTTTATTTTTTTGTCCAAAATCCATACTGGAGCCACAGGTAAAACCAGAAATTTCCCTACAAATATCCTCTGTAGGACAGGTTTTGTTCTCTGCACCACGGCTAGGGACATTGTCTTCCAGAGGTCCTGGCTTTTAGAGGGCTTAGACTGTATAGCCCTAAAATTAGAAATTAAATCCCTGTCCTCAGATTATAGAGGACATAGGTTCATTTATTTGTTTAATCTATTTTAAATTTTTATTTGTTTTTTAATTGATAAATACAAATTGTGTATATTTATGGGGTATGATGTTTTAATATATGTACACAATGTGGAATCATTAAGTAAAGCTAATTAACATATTCATTACATCATATTCTTGCCATTATTTTGTGATGCAAACATTTAAAATCTACTCCCTTTGGAAATTTGAAACAAAAAATATGGACTGCTTCACAAATTTGTATGTCACCCTTGCTCAGGGTGACATGTCACAGTGCTAATCATCTCTGCAGTGTTTCCATTTTAGTGTATGTGCAGCGTAAGTGAGCACAAGGATGCAAGTTTGTCTTCTCTCTTCTGTCACACTTTCCATGTCTTTGTCTACAAGTGATACACTTTTGAGAAATCCTTGTGTCTAATCTTCCTATTTATTAATTCAATACAATAGCATCAATTCTGTTCTTTGGGCCATTTACTGAGTAAATTATACCAAAAGCAAAGTTTTTAATTTTAGGTTTTACATTGATTCCCTTTTTTAAAAAAAATATAGATGAGGTCTTGCACCATCACCTAGGCTAGAGTGCAGTGGCATAATTGCAGCTCCCTGCACCTTGAACTCCAGGGCTCAAGGGATCCCTTCCCTCAGCCTCCTAAGTAGCTGGAACTACAGGTGCTCAACACTACATCTGGAGAATTTTTTTTATTTTTTGTAGAGACCAAGTCTCCCTATGTTGCTCAAGCTGGTCTCAAATTCTTGGATTCAAGGGATCTTCCTGCCTCTGCCTCCCAAAGTACTGGAATTATAGGTGTGAGCCAGTGCACTGGGCCTTGCTGATTCTTTTTGTTGGACACAGTATTCACTTCCTCTCTTTGAGGATAGCAACCAGCTTAATGTAACAATTCCTTCTGCTTGGCTTTATTCTTTCTAATCAGTGGGTTTCAGTTTAACTGTTTCTTGAGCTTTCAGCTACTTCTTTTCCTGAACTATTTGGTGAGCCCTTTTTGTGTGCTCCCTCTTGGATCTGAGATTCCCCTTTACACATATGTGAAGGCCATCACCAGCTGCCTGCTTGGGAGCATCTGGTGGGGGCAGGAAGTGCTTCTCGCCAGTGTGCCTATAGCTTGCTTGATGTCCCAGGGCGTCTCCAGTCACCCAGGGTATTTATTGTCCGGCCTTTCTATCCCACAGGTCTACCCAGGGCTCTAGTCCGAGGACAGGCTCTTCCATGTGACTCATGGTCTGGACAACAGTGTGGGGGGCATCACAGCCCAGTCACCCTCCTCAGGATGGAGGCTCCCTTGTGGTATCCGTGGGAGAAGGAAGGAAACGGTCTAGCTGCCTCCCTAGAGAATGGAACTGTGATGAATGCTACACGTGCCTTTTTCATGTTGAAATGCATGCTAGCCTACAGGTTGTACCTTCCCACTCCTTCCTGCTTCACCTGCGATGAGATCCACAAGAAAAAGGAGTACAGGATGTGTGCAACCCCTATGTTAAAGTATTCTTTTCAAAAAGTTTAAAAACACTTAAGCAAAGATTTTGACTCCTAAGCAACTATGGAACAAAGGCACGCTAAAGATTTAGTAACATATTAATGAATGATCAGTAAAAGAGCATTTTGAGAAACCTGAAATCTACAGGCAATTATAAAAGAATGTTACACTGAGATTGTTAGGTTACAAAAAAGGTGATTAATGTCCCACAGGACAATAAAACTTTTGGAGTTATCTTTATTTTTCCTGAGTAGCTGGGACTACAAGCCTGTGCCACCAATCCCTGGTAATTTTTTTCTGTTTTTGGTAGAGACAGGGTCTCACTCTTGCTCAGGCTGGTCCCGCCGGAATGGGGTGTGAGCCCTTGCCGGATCCCTCCAGCCCGGTTTAGGCAGGTTCGCCGGCCTCCGAGGACCAGTCCGGGGCGCCCCAGGGCAGCAGCCTTCTCCCCACCCAGGGGCGGGGAGACCCACCGGGGGAGGGGAGTTTCTAGGGGCCGCCAGGCAGGGCAGGATGGGGGGTGAAGGCGCCGCGAGCTTGCAGGGAAAATCTCAAGCTGGGTGTGGAGAGGACTTGTGTATGGGATGGGGGGCTAGCGCCGGAGGGGTCCTTCTGCTCCCCTGCACCAGGGTGACGCTCCATCTGCTGTGGCTCTCAGGCGGAGGGATGCGCCAGTCTGTGGTGGGTGCAGCCCATATCAGACCTGGGCCACCACCCCAGGATGGCTCTGGCGCTCCCACTCCGCTCCCTGCACCCTCGGCTCAGCTCCCCAGGCCAGAGACCTGGCGGCCCCGGGCGCGCGGGCAGGGGCAGGGGCAGCCGGGGGTTGGAGAGTGCAGCCTGCTCCCAGGGTGGGGGCGCGGCGTGGGGAGGAGGGGGTGCTGGCGCACCGGTGGGTGTGAGTAGAGTCCTGCCCCGGGAGCCAATTTCCGTCCCAGGCAGCAGGAGGGTCCGGGAAGGGCGGGCGGCTAAGCCCAGGGCGCCCGCGGCGGAGCTCTCCTCGGCCGCGTCCCCGCGCCGCCGCCAGCCCCCAGCCGGCGGGAAAGAGAGGGGCGCCGGCGGGGGCGGCCAGGCGGGCTGGCGAGGGAACCGCCAAGGGGCAGGGCGGGCGGAGGGCGCGGGCCGAGAGGGAGAAGGGGAGGGAGAGGAGAGCCGGAGCGAGCGAGCGCTGGAGGAGCGGGGAGAGGAGCGGAAGAGGGAAAAGACGCGCAGGAAGAGGCGTTCGGTCGCTGGAATTTGTGAGCAAGGGTGCGCGGACGATTTTTTTCGATCTTGTTTTCCTTTCGGTGCTGAAGAAGCCACTTTGGTCTGTGGGCCTCTTAGCTCCGACTGGATCCTTCTGGGCACCAGCACCCTGGGGGATTTCTCTCCTATTTGCGTTTATTCTGTCCCCTCCCTCGCTGCGCCCTCCCAGCCCCTCCCAGCCCCTCGCTCTCCCACCTGCCCGCCCTCCTGGCGCAGAAGGATCCGACCCGCGGGGCTCGTCTTCCCGGACCGAGGCGCGGAGGGCGGGCTGACCTCCGACCCGGCGGGCGCCCTAGAAGCAGGTGCGCGCGCAGCGGCGAGTCTGCCCATGCGCAGGGCGGGGCGCGTCGCGGGCCCGCCCGCCTTCCGCCCCCTCCAGCCGGAGGTGAGAGTCGCGGGACTCGGGATCTTCGCCGAGTGGACCAGCCGGGATCTCCCCGTTGAATTGGGGTTCAATATCACTGCTTGGCCATTATTATTGTTGTTATTTTTAATTTTTTTTTAATGCAAGGGAGAAAGGCAAAAAACTGTGGCATTTATTTAACGTGATCTTGGCCTTCTACCTCTTTTTTTTAGGTGAGTACCTGCGGGCGGAGGGCCCGGGGCTCCCCGCCTGCGAGAAGCTGGGGGCTCCCGCGGGCGGGCGGGCCGGAGGCTGGCGGCAGGCCGGGCGCCCAGGAAGCGGCGCAGCCGCAGGGGCCGGGAAGGGGACGGGCCGCCTCCAGACAGTCCCTGCACGCACGCCCGCACGCACGCACGCACGCACGCCCGCCCGCACGCCCGCCCGCCTGCCTGCCTGCCTTCTGTCCCCGACACACCGCGATGGCACTCATTTCCCTCAACATAACTGGTTCAAATTGCGGCAACTGAAGAAAAACGTCCAACTCCTGGTCAGGGAGGGAGGAGGCGGGAGAGGCCCAGCGGCTCCACCCGGCTGCCCGGCGCGGGCGTGGGTTGCTCCGGCGTGGACTCGGCGGGGAAGCGCTGCCGGTCGCCGCTCCCGCCTGGCCGCTGCCGCTCCCGCGCCCCTCGCGGCGGCTCCGCTCCCTGGAACACTTTTCAGGTTTCTCCCGCCCTTTGCCCTGCCTCCCACCCAGACCGAGCCGGCCCGGCGGCGGGGAGGTCTGGGCAGCCGTTCCCACCTCTGGGCGGCGGCGGGGAGGAAGGGAGGCCAGAGTTTGCGTCCTCTGGTGAAGAGGGTGGGAGGCCCAGGAGGAATCGCGATCTGAACAAAGACCACTACCTGCGCGGTGACCCCCTCCAGGGCAGGGGGCTGCCCGGGGCCCCAAACCCGCAGTTTCTTTCCCACACAGAATTCCTGGCCCCGGACCCTCGTACACTACGGGAAGCCTCCGCGTCCGGGGAAGCTGGGGTCTAGAGAAAGCACCTCGGGGAAGGAGGGGGAAGGAGGGCGTCTGCCAGGCTGTGCGCTGAGCGCGGCGCCGGGCAAGGCGGCCGCCAGCAAGTAGGTGCCGCACAGGGGAGCGCGGTAAGTAGGGGGTGTGTCTGCTGGTGTCTGTGTGTGTGTTGGGGTCACACCTGCTTCAGTGCGGGTGCTGCGCCAGCCACCCTGGCTGGCTGTGTGGGGAGCCGGGCTGCCCAGTGGCGTCCCCATCACCCCCTCTGTCCTGCAGGAGGAGCTCTGGGAAGGCCGGAGTTCCAGGAGGAGCTGGTCAGGGAGCCGAGTGTGGTCTAAGTAGCGCCCTCCAGCCTGGGGCAGGAGATTTAGTCACCACGCCAGAGCAGAGAGCATTTTAACTTTGGGTAACCTTAAATTTTATTTACAACATAGAAAGCCTCCCTTCCCTTGGGCTGCCTGGCAGAAGGAAGGAGGGTGAAGTGTTGATGTGCCAGCCCTGCCACGAAGTGTGGGGCGCTGAGGACGGCAAGCGGGGGAGGCCTGGAGGAACAGGCGGCCGCTCCTCTCTCCCTGCCCCTTCACGGTGGCTTAGGAGACTGAGCGGAATGCAGAAGTGTGTTTTATAAATTTCAAAATCACATTCTTCTAATGCTGTCAGAGACTCTGAGTGTCAATGAAAATTGGGCTTTAGCTGCAGCTCTGTCACCTCTTACACCTCCCCTTTCAGGAGGAATTCCTCTGATGGCCAAGGAGGATGAGGACCCTCATTTAAATAATTTTCTGATTAGCTTATTGTCACAACTGTCAAAGTTTTTAACCTGCACTTAAGCCACATATTGCTACACAGATCAAATCATGAACACACAGACAACTAGAAATGGACTAGAACCAGACACAGACAGACACCTCAGGACACTAACCTGAGACTTGGGTCTGTAGTGAACATCTCAGCAGTTACAACTATTGAGCATTGCACTTGGTTTGGGACTCTAGTCCAAACTGGGTTCGAGACTGTAGCCCAAACCTGATCCCTCCCCTTTTAGGGCGGAATCTGAATCACTATCCTAGGGAGAAGCACTACAAGAACCCATAATCCCAGTCCAAAGAGTGGGACTCTAAGACAGCTGTAAGATGTAGATGCCTATGAATAAGTCACTCATCCATGGAGCAGTTTCTTTTCTCCAAAGAGAAGTATCACCAAAGGGCCTGAAGCACCATATTGGAGAAGCAGGGACTTCTCAGTTGAACTTCTAAACAAACTGTTCTAAAGAAGGTCACAGGGCCTTGGGCAGGCCTTTGTCCCTTCATGGTCACCAGATTGTTGCTGAGCAATCAGAAGTAGGGCTTACTGCCTAATGCACATTAGAAGCCAGTACCATGACACCCACCTTTGAGAAAAGAAAAGCTTTCTTGCAAATCCACTGGCAAGGAGACAGGAGAAAACACTCAAATTGGTCTCTCCCAGCTGGGGCTTTGTTGTGTTTTATAAGCATAGGGTAATGCGGTATGATCCAATTAAATCTTGCAATGAGATGATGCCAGGAGGCATGATCTGACTAGATCCTGCCATGGGGTGATGCCAGGGCTTGATCTGACAGGCTCCTGGATCCTGCCCTGCAGTGTCCACTTCTTAATTCTGTCCCCGCATGCTTGGTTCATCTATTGCCATAGACCCAGGTTACAACCTAGGGTCTGTGGCAATTAAAAAACAACTCACAACTTAACAAAGTTGGACCACACAGGTCTAGTGTGCTTAAAATATCATACTCAATGGTGAACGCCTGAAAGCTTTTCCTCTAAGATTAGAAATAGATAAGGATGCCCACCTTTATCATGTCTATTCAACACAGTACTGGAATTCTAGCCACAGCAAGTAGTCAAGAAAGAGAAATAAGAGACATCCAAATTAGAAAAGAAAAAATTAAATTATCTCTTTTCACAGATCATATGATGTTATATGTAGAAAACCCTACAGATTTCATAAAAAAAAAAACCTTTAGAAATAATAAATTCAGCAAAGTAGGAGGTCACAAAGCCAACATGCAAAAATCAGTTGCATTTATTTGCTAACAATGAACAATCTGAAAAAAATTATAAAGACAATTCCATTTCGATAGCATCAGCAATATTAAAATACTTAAGTCAATTATTAACCAAGAAGGTAAAAGACTTGTACAGTAAAATTCATAAAACATTGCTGAAGGAAATTAAAGTAGACAGAAATATGTGGAAATATATTCTATGTTCATGTATTGGAAGGCTTAATATTGTTAAGATGTCAATACAGACTGAAGTGATCTCCAGACACAATGCAATTCCTATCAAAATTGCAATACCATTGTTTGCAGAAATAAAAACAAATTCTAAAATACATACAGTATCAAGGGTCTTTGAGTACTTAAAACATTCTTGAGAAAGAAGAACAAAGCTGGAGGACTCACACTTCCTTACTTTAAAACTTACTACAAAGTGAGAGTAATCAAAACAGTGTAGTACTGACAAAAAGACAGACATACAGAAAGTGGAATAAAATAGAAAGCGCAGAAATAATCCTCACATATATGATCAAATGATTTTCGAGAGGGATACCAAGAACATTCATTGGGAAAAGAACAATCTTTTCAAAAAATGGTGCCAGGAAAACTGAACATCCACATGCAAAAGAATGAAGTTAGACTATTATCTAATACTACATACAAAAATTAACTTAAAATGGATGAAGGACCTAAATGGATGACCTAAAATTATAAAACTTTTAGAAGGAAACATAAGGCAAAAGCTTCACAACATTGGATTTGGCATGATTTCATGGATATGACACCAAAGGAACAGGCATGAATAATAACAAAAAAGTAGACAAATTGGACTTCATAAAAATTGAGAAATTTTGTGAATCTAAGGATAATATTAATCACAGTAAAATTAGAATAAAAAGGCAATCCACAGAATGAGGTCATAGAATAGGGTTACAATAAACATATGAAAGTGTGCTCAACATCCCTAATTGTTAGGGAAATGCAAATCAAAACTATAATGAGATGACACCTTGCATCCATTAGGATGACTACTATCAAAAAAACAGAAAATATTAATAAAAACTGCTGGAACTCCCTGGTCTCTGAATGCCTGAAAAAAAAAGAAAAACTGCTGGCAAGGATGTAGAGAAATTGGAATTTTTGTGCACTGTTGCTGGGAATGTAAAATGGTGCAACCATTATGGAAAACAGTTTGGAGTTTCCCCAAAAAAGTAAAAATAGAATTATTATAGGACCCAGCAATTCCACTTTTGGATATATACCCAAAAGAAATAAAAGCAAGGTCTTAAAAGGAGTTTTGCATACCTATATTCATCCTAGCATTATTCACAATAGCTAAAATGTGGAATAGATAAGTGACCACTGATGGATGAATGGATAAGCAAAATATGGTATACACATAAATGGAATATTATTAGGCCTTTAAAAAGGAGGAAATTTACCATCACATGGATGATGAGGCTAAAAAATCTAAAACAACACTGAAAAGGAAATTATTACCTATGCTACAACATGAACGAAACGTGAGGATATAATGCTAAGTGAAATAAGCCAGTTGCAAAAAGACAAATACTATATGATTCCACATACGTGAGGTACTTAGAGTAGTCAAAATGATAGACACAGAAAGTAGAATGGTGATTGCCATGGGCTGGGGGGATGTGGGAGTAGGGAGTCACCATTTAATGGGTATAGGCTTGCAGTTTTACAAGATAAAAAGTGTTCTGCAGATTGATGTTTGTGATGGTTTCACAACATTATAGATGTATTCAATAGCACTGAACTGTACACTTAAAAATCATTAGTATGGTATGTTTTATGTTGTGTGTATTTTGCCACAATAACACATTGGGAAACCATCAAATGAGACCATATTTGCATAATAACAAACATTAGAATTATTCATATCAGAAACATTTTATATCCTGAATTTTGACTTAGCTTATTCTATGAAGAGAAATAATTATATTTCTACATTGCTATTTATCAATATTAAGAAAATTGTGACTTTGATTTATATCTCTTGAGTCAGGCACCAAATCTAGAGAAGCAAAGATGAAGATCAAAAAGTGTATTGCTTTTAGTTTTATAAATGAACATAAAAAATTGGCCAGTGTTTAAATTCATGACAGTCTTTAAGTAAAATAAGCAACAAATTTAGTACCATTTACTCAGGTCCTCTTCCATCCATCCATCTGTCCATCCATCCATCCATCCATCCATCCATCCATCCATCCCCACTAAGTATTTACCCATCTATCCATCCTCCCCATCTACCCATCAGTCATTTATTAATTCGTATTTTCAAATGTGAGCATAAAATATGGCAATAATAACGGAAAGTGATTATATAAGCACATTGGAACACACAGTGAAGGTCAATTACTATATAGGCAAGGAGAATAGGATACGCTAAGTTCTGTAACCTTTCACACGTTATTTTAATGTCACAAGCAATGATATAGTAGATACATTAGGAAATGCACATAAGCAAAAAAGAAAATAAAAATCTTCCACAATCCTGCTACATGGATTGGAAATAAAAACTGTTAACGTTTTAGAATGTGTTTCTATAGGTCTTTTTTCCTATGTGTGCATTTTTTTTTTTTTTGGAGGAAAGAGACTTTATTCCAGAGAATATTTCACAAACCAGGGAAATGCAGCCTTTGATATAAAAGGCATATGCGTTTCTGAGAACAAAGAAATGGTTCAGGTTTTATAGCAAAATTTCCTGCCCAGTTCCCCAAACAGGTCTGTTTATGCAAATAAAAAATGAAAACTTGCTTATTTATGATTGGTTGATGCAGCTGAGGTATGATTAGTCAATACAGCTGAGCCCTGATTGGTTGATTACTGTTTTCTTTAAGAGGCAAGGTCTTTTTCTCTGTCACTCATGCTGGAGTGCAGTGGTCCAATTGTAGCTCACTATAACCTCAAACTCCTGGGCCCAAATGATCCTCCCATCTAGGAGCTAGGACTACAGGCATATGCCACCACATCTGGCTAGTTTTTAAATTTTATTTTATCTAGAAATGAGGTCTCACTATGTTGCTCAGGCTAGTCCTGAGCTCCTGGCCTCCAGTGATCCTCCTGCCTCAGCCTCCCAAAGTGCTGGGACCACAGGCATGAGCTACCAAGGCCAGCCTGAAAACCTTTTCTGTTTGAGTTTCCATTTTGCCTGATATATTGGTATAAGTTAAAATGTTGGTATTAGCTATTTCCCAGACACCATCTTGTTTTGCCATGAGAAAATCTAATGGAATTTGCTTATGCAGAGCTATGTGGGCCAGAGAGTTTAAACAGTCTGTTGAGCTGCAGTGCTCTTTGTGTATAGAACAGTAACAATGATGAGAATTCTTAAAACACTC